CTAAGAGGGTATACCAGGCTCATCGAGCTGGACGGAGTCGACATCGAAGCGGCTCGACCAGATCGAACGGGACCACTGCTTTTGTGGACGACGGACGGAGCTGCGCACCCTCAGACCGTCGGAGGCGGCCGCGGCGAGCGGCGCAGGGCTGCGCCCGCGGGGTGCGGCCCGCCCGATGAACGATGCGCGCGCGCTCGGGCCCCAGGGCCCGGCATTCGAAGCAGGGATGCTCGCGAGCTCCCTCGTGACGACCTACCAGACCACCCCAGCCCAACCCGAAGACCCGAACTTGACCCGAATTTCGGGTTGGGGGGGGGTACGGATTCCATGTGTCTTTTCAGCGTTCCCCGACGCCCCCCACGGGAAATGGAGGGCAGATCGAGGGCTTCGGGCTGGCTTGGGGTGGTTTGGTGGGTGGTGAGGACCCTCTGGCTTCGCCTGACAATCTGAGAGACCGGGCACCGTGCCGGAGTCAGCGGGGGAAGTGAGGCGACGACGTTGTCCAGGCGCACGCTCTGGTCGACCCCTGAGGCTCGGACGGACGGAGGGGCTCGGCATGCACACCACGTCGCTTGGTCGGCCAAGGGTCCAAAGAAATCGGCGAAGGAGGTCGGTGTACATGCAACCCAGCGTCCCGCAATTTGGGAACCTGAGGCGTGTCCAGAATCCTTGGCCGAATAAACGACTTGGTGTATACTTCGAGCCCCTCTCTGGCAAAATACTGCAAACATATCAATGCAACTACCATCCTGAATAACAGAGCGGCATGCCTTCAGGACAACCCCTGTGATAACGCGTTGGTCGCTTGAAGGCCAAATCAATGAACGGGGCTGAAGCTTTACCACCAACTGTCATCCTCAACTCGTCAATGATCGCGCACCATGCTGATGCAAGCGTGCAAATCCATGCGTCAGCCTCCAGGAACAACTCCAAGTTGAGCAACGACTCTATCACTATATTCCTAATTCCAAACTTGCGTTTTCGTGTGATTATGCCCTCGTTCGTCCGATTAGCCGTGCAGAACGACACATCCCAGGCTTGGCTCGATTTGCCCTCTGCGAGGGACATCGCTCTTCGCACCTCTACCTCGTCTTCTGTGTTGAAGAACAAGAGGCGCCTCGCAAACGCAGACGGCATGTATCGAAAGCATTGAGCTGTGTCCGAATAGTTCTCATGCAATACTCTGACGCCCCTCTCGCCCGCCACCAACATGTGGACCTTCTCCATGTACGTGTCGAACGACAGTCTGTCCATCTCCGGCTTGCCCATCCAAGATTCGTTCGTGGTCTTGTCCACACTGGTTCGCACATGCACCGCCACCGTTCCAGCTGGCAGTCCATCCAGACGGCCCATTTGACCGCCTCGCCAGTAAACGTGCAATGCGCTTTGCCTCCTCGCGTCCAGGAGCTGCCTAGTCTTCTGATTCGGGCGCACGAGCTGAAAACTAGGACACTCATCAATTAGGAACTGTTGGGGAAAGCGTAATCGTTTGAACAGACCGAGCTCACAAGACAAGAGTTCGACACAACCCCAGCACTTGCCTGCACCGCAAACATCTGACCGACAAGGAAATCGCATGCAATATGTAATATGTCTCTATTCGATTCACATATCTCCGATGTTGTCGTCCCGCCTATCAACCACCACCCCATTCCACACAACAGCCCAAACACATATACGCTCCACGGCGCCCCCATCTATGTCACTACCTCACAACACGACCACACATGCCAAATATTATGAATGGGCACGTGACAGGCACCATATGCACACTGTTTTTCTCCGACGGTTCCGACCTGCACGGTGGGAAATGGCTGTCAAACTAACCTTGGTCCAGAAACTGAGTCGAACTGTCGGGGAGACGTAAGACTCGGGTACGGGGGACTCGGGTTTGCCCGACGGGGCCATCATAAAAATGACGAGGCCCAATCTGAAATTTGACGCGAGCTCCCGCTGCAGACATCCCCAACCCAACCCGAAGACCCGAATTTCGGGTTGGGGGGGGGTAAGGGTTCCACATGTGTTTTTTCTATGTTTCCCGACCCCCCCCCCACTGGAAATCGAGGGTAAATCTGAGCCTTCGGGTTGGGTTGGGGTGGTTTGGTTGAAGGTTGAATCTGCACACTGTTTTTCTCCGAAGGTTCCGACCTGCACGGTGGGAAATGGCTGTCAAACTAACCTTGGTCCAGCAACTGAGTCACACTGGGGCTCAGGGATCGGGCCATCCCCTGCGACTGGCGGCCGAGAGGGCGGTTCGGAGGTGGGAGGCGGTGGCAAGAGAGAGCGGGGCAACAGCTCCCACCTGGCCGACCGGCTCGCAGCCGCGCAGCTCGTACAGTCGGGGCCTTGACCTAAGGAACCCTAAATAAGGAACGAGGCCCCTTTTTTCCATAAGTTAACCTTCGATTTGCGATCGAAAACATAAGGAAATCCTCAGGCAAGCTGTGAAACCCTTAAGGAACGCGGAGCCCCTCCCCAATGAAAAGGGTTCCTTCTTCAGCGCCCCGACTGTAGCTCGGTAACAACGCACGGGAACCTCCCATGTCATCTTGCTGGCTCGTACGAACCGACGCTCGCCGACGCGAGTCGACGCTGGGTCGACGCTACATCGGCAATGTCTCGTCGATTATTACCAGACGCCAGCGCACGCCAGTGCACCCTGCGGATGGAATTTCGCGGACATGCAAGGCTCCCGTGGTTCGCTGACGAATCATAATACACACCAGATTCACACTCGATTCGCGGATGATCCACAATCAATTCGACAGCACCACGCTCGACACAATGCTACCACAACGGCCACAGAAGACAATTCATTATGCCACAACGGCACAACAAGCTGACGAACCACGACGCCACAGCACCACGACATCGCAACATCAAGACACCGTACATGCGCGGCAGCCGTCGACAGCGCGCGTAGCACCGCTCGCAACCAAACAAGACGAAGCCAAGACAGGGACAACATCGGACTGAGATAAATCGGTATCTAGAGGATATGACGGGCGCCGCGGCCATTCCAGAGCGGTGAGCAACGCTCTGAGAGCGCTCTGGAACGCTCTGGAACGTCTTATCCTGGTCCTAGCCCTCCATGCCCCACATCACAAGCGCAGCGTTGCGCAACCAACAGGCCGGGTATGACTCAAATAGTACGATCCAAATCTTGAATCCCGACGATTGGACCTCGCAGAAGCTTGGCGCCTCCCAACCTTCAACCATCTTCACGGAGTTCCGATCTCACGGGTGTCCTTGCTTTCAGATGAGGTACGTGACGGCTTGCGCACGCCACCAATAAAAATACATGCTCGTCTTCACAGGCGAGCAGTTTCTGAGCATGTGGTCGAACACTTGAGGCGTAATGGCTGGCTGGTGGAGTGCATCGCCTATGAAAGCCAAGTTCCTGATCCTCATAGGGTCAATGACCACGACATCACCCACAGGCTCACAGTGTGAAACAGGTACAAACCAGCAGTCCCAACCTCGCGTTCCCTTGCAGTGCACTCTCTCGTACCAGCCAAAAGTCGGATCTCGATCCCGCCGTTCAAAAACAAGCACCCGTCCAGAATTCATTGCTATAGCCAACGCTCTTGCCACATGGTGCAATGCTGCGCCCATACCGTAGCGGTCACCGTACTCACCATTCCGGAAAATCAGCCGATCCCCGCTTGCCAGGGGTGAAAAGGATTGGGAGATGATTGAATGTCCCCCTCCCCCTTTCTCCCTCCCCTGGGGTCCAAAATGCCGTTGGGTGGGGCGGGGCCCGGGCGGGGGGACCAGCTCCTAAACACATCCCGGGGCCCCTGGAGCCTCTCCAGAGCCCCAAGACGCCGCAAGAGGGCCCCAAAGAAACGTCAAGACAGTCCAAGAAAACGTCGAAATGGTCCATGGTATCCCCACGGCGATCCAAGCAAGCTTCAAGACTGCTCACTCCCAAAGGACCGCGGGGAAGGCTCCAAGAAAAGAACATCGCTTCATGTCAGTTCATTATCAGCATACTCTCAGCATGCTCTCAGCATCCTCGCCTTTTGCATCTTCAGAGCGTCCAAGAACTGCCCAAGGGGCTCCCAAGATCGTCCCACGTTCGCCCCAAGACGGCCCAAGAGGCCCCACGACGGCCCCAAGAACACCCGAAACGGCCAAAGGGACCCCCAAGAGAGGTCCAAACCAGCCCCAGGGACTCCCAAGACGGCCCAAGAGAGGACCACGAGACCGAATCCGACCTGGCATTTCGAGCATTTCCCCCCACCATGCTCCAAAGAAGCCCCCGAACGGCCGAAAGGAACCACCTAGAGGCCCGCGGAATTGTATTCGAAAGGCACGTTGTTGCCATGCTCATCGGAATTCGGCCTTGGCGTTGCCTTGTGCTGACACGCAGTGTATGCTCATTGCCCTCGTGTACGTTGGCACGCTCTTCCTGGCGCTGAAACTGGGGGGGGGCGCATCTGCCCCTTGTGTCGCTGGCAACGCCCTAGGTCGGACAGAACGACACGGCAGAATTGTTCGGCAGATGATCAGGGCAAACCACCCAACGCCCAGTCTTGGAGTGGTCTGGACGTGCACCCCGCGAAGCGAGAGGAATCATGAACTTCGCATCAGTGCAGTTCACAGGGTTCTGGTGCTTCCAGATTAAGGCTTGAGCATACCCTGTTCCATACAACATGATGGCAGGCTTCTGCTTAGAAAATACAAGCTGGTGCCATGGGTACGTGGACGCGTTGATGATGCCAGTGTCTGCAGCATAGTCGGCGCATTCATCTTGAGGATCATGGATATATTCTCGATTGCTTTCATGTGACGCCTTTACCACCCAGACTTCATTACGATACAAATGGTTCACCATATGCCTCGTTGGGTTCCCGCTGGCCTTTACGTTGTGCGCAAAGCCGACATAATCCTCTCCGATCCCTGCACGTGCATGGGCCACCTCACGGGCAATCTCCTCTTCACGGCGCACATCGCTTAACATCACCTGCAAACGATCTTCCAAAACGGAACCCCTCGACGCGTGCCACTCCGGGTTTCTCTGTCTCGCGTGAGGGTAAGGCGAAAATGCCGAATCAATTGGCCGCTTCTTTCCGAAAGCCAGGGCAACCATGAAATCAAACTGCCAAGAACGACGCGTCACGTGGGCTACGGGCCACACCGGAACGTGCCCGAAATCTGCTTTCCAAATGCACTTGGCCAACAAATCAGTGCAGTGCAATTTTCTGGAGCTCTGAGCTTTGATATCCTGGGCTCCCTGGCTTTCAGTCTTCACGAAGGCGATGCCGTCTTCGAAGCTGAGTCGGACGACGTCGCGGCCGAGGCGCTGATCACGCGCCTGGAGGGCGGATGAGATCCTGGAGCTCGGATGGCCAGAATGATGGCTCGGGGCAGCTGCAACCAAAAGAATACTCAGACTTCGGCCTGCCGCTCCTCCCGTCCTCCCCCTCCTCCTCCACCTCCTCCTCCTCCTCCTCCTCCTCCTCCTCCTCCTCCTCCTCCTCCTCCTCCTCCTCCTCCTCCTCCCTCCTCCTCTCCTCCTCCTCCTCCTCCTCCTCCTCCTCCCTCCTCCTCCTCCTCCTCCTCCTCCTCCTCCTCCTCTCCTCCTCCTCCTCCTCCTCCTCCTCCTCCTGCTCTGAAGGGGCCCAGGACACACAAATAAATAGACACAAATCCCCGGATTCCCAATAGTTTCCATGTGTTCTGGATTGTCATCTTCCCCATCCACTTCCCATGTGTTCCCATATTCTCCTGGGAATCGACGCTCATTTGTGTATGTGTGTGTTTCCCCTCCTGATCCTCCTCCTCCTCTCCCCCCATCTCTCCTTCCTGCCCTAAACTCCTCCTTCTCACTTCTACCCTTCGTCGCATTCGCCCGCTTTTCCGCCTCACCCTGCTTCTTCCCCACCGCCTCGCCGTCCTTGTTCTCCCGGTTCTCCCCCATCCTCGTCTTCCTTCCTCCATTTCTCACATTCCCCCATCTTCCCTTCCACCACCCGCCACCATTCCTCCCCTCCCGCGACTCCCGCGGGCCCCTCCTCCCCCTCCTTCTCCTCCTCCTCCTCCTCCTCATCCTCCTCGTCCTCCTCCTCCTCCTGTCCCCCATGCCTTCTTCACTGGAGTTGGAGGCGAACCCCGCTGGGCATCCCTGAGGCTTTGGCTGCCCTGCATTGCGGCTAACAACGTCAACTAAGTCCTGCATGGTCTCGACAAAGTCCCGTCGCGACCAGGGTTCCGCAGCGGAGGCGACCTCCCCGCGGTCGAGCCTCGACTGCGCGACCTCCAGCACGTAGAGGCCGCCCGCGCGGAGGCGCGGAAAGAGCTGCACAAAAGTCAGCAGCTGATGCTCCGGACGGTCTCTGGCACCGTCGATGATCGAAGAGCAAAGACAGCGCAAACATAAAACTTGGGAGTCCTGCGCGGATGTCTTGGATCGGCCCTGGATCACGCGCGCTGGGGAGGGGGATCCAGCACCGATCCAAGATATATCTGCGCGGGGCTCCGAGCGGTGATGTTTATGCAATGTGTTCTTCTTCGAGATGATGATGTCGAACCCCTGAGGAGCCCCCCGCGTCAGCCTCCGGAGGGAGTCCGCATCCGACGCGTCCAGAATGTGGAACCGCAGCAGCTGGCAGACGCGGGGCTCGGCTTGGCAGATATGAGCAGTAAGGAAGAACACCGTACGTCCAACGTCGAGCCTTTACTAACGTGTGTTACAACGCTCCCGATGCCAAATCGAAACCTTGTGCGCTTGCCCGTAGCCAACACATTTGCCAGCCCAACCGGCCCATCCACCCAACTCACAAACCCACCAACCAGTCCAACCAACCCAACCCGCCACCTCACCAACCTTCCCTACCCCCGCCGCCTGCCCTCCGTCATAACCAAGGCGGGCGCCCCGAACACGGTCGGGCCCCCCAGTGCGATCGACCCCACTTGCTCTAGCCAGCACACCAGCCAGCCCAACTAGCCCAACCAGCCCGACCGCAAACCCGCCAAACAGCCCATGCAGCCCGACCAGCCACCACGCCAACCCGCGCCCAGCCCGCCACCACGCCAACCAGCCCATCTCCGCCGCCTGCCCTCCGTCACCACCGAGGGGGGCGGGAGCGTTTCTTACCCAGCGAAAACGGATGCGATGGTGTCGTCACTTTCCGCACTTCCAAACATCCACACTCTCGATGGGAAAGCTCCCGTCCTCGAAACTGTCATCACTTCTCAGGCCCCCAGTGTCCACGCAAGGGGCGTCTACGGGCCCCCAGCCGCCGTCGAAACCAATTGCCCCAGCCAGCACACCAGCCGGCCTAACCCGCCACCACGCCAACCCGCCTACCCCCGCCGCCTGCCCTCCGTCACCACCGTCGCCCCGCGGAGCAGGGGCACGGGGAGCGGAGCGGGGTGCTCGGGGAGCTTGCGAGCCGTGGCGCTCGGAGGCGCTCGAAGGCTGAGGAAGGAAGGGGGAGAAGCAGGAGAGGAGGAGCAGGAGGAGGAGGAGCAGGAGGAGGAGAAGGGAAGAGG